ATAAAAATTTGACAAAATGCGATTTGGATTTGACAGAGAAATACCCTCATTCCAGTTAGTATCCTTGGGCTGTCGTCAGCTGGACTAGGGCAGTCCGTATCTCCTCTCACCTGACGACAGAGGCTTTCCACCCTGCGCTCTTTGTTCATTGTCCGGACTGAGGCGAGCAGCCAGCTCTCTTCATGTTGGAGCAAGGAAAGGAAGCATTAGAAGGTTAAAGAGCCGTGTCAGTAAGGGTTGCTAGTGCTCGAGCATTGAAGTCCCTTTTTTCCTCATGTTTATTTTGGTTWATTTTCCCACCCTACAGGTTTGAAGAAACATGCAAATTATACAWGAAAACCTGCATCTTCAGYAATCGTCTGCTGTGATTTGATAGTGGTGCTTTGTGCAACTTGGACAAAATTAGTAAAAACTGTACTACATATATCCTTATGCTTTTGACAAAAAAGGAAATCTCAGCCATGTTTGATGATCTATTACTCAGGAACTATCACCCATTACTAACTAACTAACATTTTGCAGTAAAAACATTGTTTAAAGTTTAAACAGGTCACAAACAGCATGACTTTACATGCCTGAGAGAACATTTAGATGCATGGTTTTTGCTCAGTTGCCATTCAGGTTTTCTGATTTATAAAGGTTTTACCACAGGATGTACATACTACTTGATGTCACACTTGAGTTGTCTAAGCTTTCCTGTCTACTTTTACTCTAACAACTTTTTTTAGTGTATGTATAAATTACACATTAAAACAGAAGCATACTTTTCTTCTCTCACCCTGTCAGTATTTCTCACTTCAATCCAATTTACTTGCTTCCCTCAAAGTGATGAATGCACTCAAACTTCCTAAGATTTCAACTACAGAGCAAAGTTTTCTCTTTAAAATTAGAAGCAAAGGATCGTTTTTTAACTTGTCATAACTTCTGTGTAAAACCCTGTAGAAACATATAAAGTAGYATACGTAACCAGCAAAGTCCTTCACCACCTAAAGTTGAATTATATTTTAAGTCATGATTTAAAGTTTTTGTACAGCAACTTGCATTTCAGTCTGCATTAAACTCTTAAGTTTGCTTTCAAGGATTGAAAGACAAGAAGTGTGGGTAACATGGCGAACAGGAACTGCAAGCAGATTTTATTTTTGTCTCTTCTAACAGACTTCTTGTACCACATGTACCAAACTCAAGGCCCACAGGCCAGATGTGGCACACTACAGCATTTTATGTCACCGACAAGAGCTTCAAATATGTGTTAATGTCATCACTGACCATAAACTACATCTCCCATAATGCATGTCAATTATTTTAACCGCAAAACGACGACATCTCACCAGTAGGCGAAGGTGRCCAGGGTTCAAAAGTAGCTGGAGAAATTTGCTGTATTAAATCTCTATTAAGCTTCAGTTTTTCTGGCTACATTTACTGCAGCCCAGCTGTACTTGGAGATGGGAATTCTCAATTTGCAAGTTGTAAATATAAACTGAAACACCCCTCTAGTGGGAATGTTCATAAGTAAAGACTGCAGCTACTCACYACAACTCAACAGTGACTAAAACTCTTTACTTTTTTAACAGTATTTCTGTATTATACAGTATATTTTACATTTAGTCAATCGTACACGTAGTACTTTTCAGTGTTTATAAGAGGACGTATTAAAACACTGTTTCTATGCMAGAAAAACCACGTAGAGCTCAGTTATTGTTTGTTAGGGGTGCTCAGCCACAGCAATGAGACGAGGAACGTGAYGTTTCCTGTCTAAACGTGAGAGTTGGCCCTTTGAGGGCCACCATGATGCTCATTTGGCTCTCAGTGAAAATGAGTTTGACACCCCCATCTTATAAACTTTGTACATCAAAATGTATTTTTTTTCATACATTTCCTCATCAGAAACTTAAAGATTCTGTTTTTGGCAAGATTTAGAGTTTTTGATAAAGTGTGCATTTGAGGTGGGAGAGAAACAGGGACGGGGGGTGGGGG